TATGTATTTGGGCCGAGCTCCATCAGCCACTACGGATAACCTGCTGCGAAGGGACAAACAGTATTATAAATTGACGTTGTAATTTACAATACTGGGCTTTCAGCTAGTACCCATGCTGCCGGTATGATAAATTACAACACAGAAATACAGACACCTTGCTCTGACGATGAAAGCGAGAGAGCTTTTGAAACGTCAACCTGAATACACTTTGGTCCCAGAAATCGTCTCTACTTCTTCCTCTTCCGGGGATGATGTAAGGAAGGCTCCCTTCACTTCCTCAACTTATGAGTAGCGTGCGAACTAATCCAAATCTGACATGAACTAATGTTTTTGATTACTTGGCTGTAAATGTTTCAAATGTACCCGCTCATTATAATATATCGGTAGACGTTTTTTACAAGTGACCGAAGGCGAAAAGGTCAGCATGACATTGTTTGGGACTAGCATTCAGGCAACGCTGCGAGTAAACATTCTTCCTTTTAACTCACCCCAGTTTACTGAGTTCACGAGAGAATAACATTTGAAATCTGTCAGTTTATGTTAAACAATTAAGGACCCTGGTATGTGAGAAGAAATCAAAATGAATCTAGGTGAATAAATTAACATAAATCCAGCAGTCACCATTTGTCTGAATATTCACAGCCTGTCACTGCAAAACTAGTACAATTTCAGACTCCGAAATAAATCCCTTCTTTTTTGTCCCCTTTATCGAATCCTCCAGTGTAGTGGCTGAATCCCTGAAGTCTGGAAAGACGGTTGCGCCCGAAACCTTCGAAGAGGTGTCCATCTACTTTAGCGATATTGTTGGATTCACGACCATCTCAGCTCTTTCAACTCCACTGCAAGTGGTTGGTCTGTTGAATGACCTCTACACAATGTTTGACGCAACCATTGATAACTACGACGTCTACAAAGTAAGCAACGTCTAGAAGCCCGACTTGTCATAATGCACCAACTTTTAATAAATAATATTTGACTTCGATGATAGTTTAACGGCAGGAGAGATCACCCTTGGAGGTTGTAACACAGTCCAGAAACTGGTGACTCTGTTTCCTTCCAGGCTTCTGCAGATTGAGTTATAGTCGTATGTGAAGTTCCGGCGAGTGGGCCATGCTGGGCCCTTACACGCCTGATATTATTACTCTTGATGTTAATCAGAGAGTAGTCATGTTCCTCAAATAATCATTATCTGAGTGCAGATGACCAGTCTAAGCACCACAGCCTTACCACCCACAATTGGGATTGGTTGTGGCTGACTGATGACAAATAATGAGCCAGAAATGACCATTCCAGTCGCCATTGTCTTTATCAGCTCCACTGCATCATATGCTAGCAGTAGGTATGTGACCACCTGCGATTGCTCTAGAACGAACTTCCAAGTAAAACGGGATGAGTATGTTCCCTAACATGGTAAATCTGTGAGCGCCCTAATTCCATCATATCCCCGATAGCATCCGACAAAATCAAGGAGCCCATGGTGCAATGGCTGAGTGTTGCACTCAGTCCCGAGTGATCCACACCTGGGATTGCGTACGCCTGGCTGATGACGGATGATGAGCCAGAAATTGCCTTTTGGGTTTCCATTGTGTTTGTTGGCTCTACTCCATAAAAATATCTGTTCAACTCCGGTTTCGAGCCTCTTCAATGTGCATCTACGCCTTTACTTGCTCCTGCGGGGCAGGCTAAATTGGTCGAATAATACTACTTGGTACTGGAATATGACATAACTTTCTTTCAGGTGGAAACCGTTGGGGACGCCTACATGGTGGCCTCGGGGCTGCCCATACGAAATGGTAGTCGTCACGCAGGAGAAATAGCCATGATGTCCTTGGATTTGCTCAGTGGTTGTGGCACCTTCAAAATTCGACACATGCAGAACGTTCCACTTCGACTACGCATTGGGCTGCATACAGGTTTGATAAAATATGAATTCTTCAGCTTTGCAACTCACTGAACATATAACATGCCTTTTCCTGACATTAACAAAATGAAAACAAGACTTTCAATGCACTTCACAGTCACCCATGAAATGATATAGGTGAACAGCTGTTTTCCGGGCCATGTTTCGAGGATTCAGTAAAAAGTATGTTAGTGGATCGCCTAGTGGACTTAACATTAGCAACTTGTAATAAATGGTTAGCTATTCGATTATGGCAAATATTTATTCAAGGCAAAGAGTATGACAGTTAGTTTTTCTAAAATCTGAACAATAAAATCAATGAATGCATGCGTTGTCTTACGTTTGCTACCTATCTGCTGCTATGCCCGGTCATTCGCATACCTCTTTTGCCCCTAAAATTTGACGACAATGCATCATTCCATTTGTTACAGTCCACAGTTCTAAAACACATTTGGCATATTTTTAGTTATCAAAAGGTAAATATAATTCCTTGATTTCGTGTAGATTCAGACGGCGAAGAGAGAAGACATTTACCGGCAGATGTAAAACAATGCGGACTATCCGCTCTCTGACAATATCAGAGACTGTGAGAATGCCTTGACCACCGTTACAACATTCTCGTTCTCTTCGCTTCAGCTCCCTGCAAAGGGTTTTTACCGCTCTTAAGAGTACTCTACCACAGTCGCGTTTATGGACCATCGGGTGATTGCTATGGTAGTTAGGGCCCGAGTTAGGTTAGTCAAGTTTCTATATGCCGTCGTGCTGAGTTTACTATCGGGTCTGCGTCTGACGAGGGCGTCAAGGAAAGACAACAGGCTGACATTCTCTTCGGCTCTTTTGCAAATGTGTAGTCCAAATGGAAAGGCCAGACGTCTAACTTACCTCTCTTTTGACGCTTTCTCTCCCTCTTGTTATATCATAGGAGAAACCAAAATCCCCCAAAGCTCCTTTTTGAAAGAAGTACAGTTGGTCGTAGCTGGTTATGATAACAATTACAATAAAATAAAACCGAAGGATTTCCTTGATTTTCTGACATTTTAGGTCCATGCGTTGCGGGCGTGGTCGGTTTAACTATGCCTCGATACTGTCTATTTGGAGACACAGTCAACACAGCATGCAAAATGGAATCTACCGGAGCAGGTCTGTTGATTTTCTTTGCTTTATTTTGAACGGTAAATCGGCAAAAGTAGCTTATGTAGTCCCAATCATATACCCCTAGTCCCAGCATTTTATCCTACGAAAACGGCGGTTATAGGGTTTTGGGGGGTGGGGAAATAGGATAAGCAGAGAAGGAAATTTTTAGAAATGTGAAGTGAAAAATTAAGTTGAAATTACTTTCCGCGGCCGCTGGGCGAAAATTGTTCCGCATGTAAATTGAAGGTGTACGCAGCGCTTCGCGCCGCGGACTATACTAATC